AATATTATCATTATTGTCGCCATTATTATTATTTATTATTATAATTATTATATTATTATAATATATTATATATTATATTATTATTATTATTATCATATCACTATATCATCCTCATCATTATTATCATCAACATCGTTCATTATTATCATTATAATTTTCATTGTTAGGATTAATATTATCCATTTCATTATAATGTTATTTAATATTATTATTATTATATATTTATTATTATTATTATTATTATTATTATATTATATTATTATTATCATCATTTCATTATCATCATAATTAATTTGATATCATTATGATTATTATCAATAAATCAATCATCATTATCATCACCATTTTTCCTGCTTTCATCATCATGACCGCCACTTGTATAGTTCAATTAAGCAATTCACCATCTCATTAATTTCTTAAAACCATATCACCAAAATAGCAATTATGAAAGACTTAAAAATGCCGGACCGTTTAATTACGTGGAGTATTAAGCAGGCAGCAATAAGAGCATGCAATTTAAATGAGAAAATTACACCCCCAGCTTTTGAGATCTAAAGGTCACGGCAAGGTCACTTAGCTCATTTGATTAACATCCAAATTAATGATAGGAAGGAAAATGAGAGAGAGAGAGAGAGAAGGGGGGTGAGAAAAAGAGAGAGGAGAGAGAGAGAAAAGAGAGAGAGAGAGAGAGAGAAGAAGAGAGAGAGAGAGAGAGAGAGAGGAGAGAGAGAGAGAGAGAGAGAGAGAGAGAGGAGGAGCGGGGAAGACGAGAAAGAGAGAGAGAGGAAGAGGGGAAGAAGAGAAAGAGAGATGGGGTGGAAGGGAAACACAGAGAGATAGAGGAGAGATGGGAGAGGAAACACAGAGAGATAGAGAGAGAGAGAGATAGAGAGAGAGAAAGGGAGGAGGGAGGGAGAGAGAGAGAGAGAGAGAGAGAGAGAGAGAAGAGAGAGAGAGAGAGAGAGAAGAGAGAGAGAAGAGAGAGAGAGAGAAGAAAAGAGAGAGAGAGAGAGAGAGGAAGAGAGAGAGAGAAGAGAAGAGAGAGAAGAGAGAGAGAGAGAGAAGAGAGAGAGAGAGAGAGATGAGAGAGAGAGAGGAGAGAGATGAGAGAGAGAGAGAGAGAGGAGAGAGAGAGAGGAGAGAAGAGAGAGAGAGATATGATGGAAAAAGAATTACAATCAGGTAAAAAGGTATGATAAATAGACAAAAAACTAGACTATTCCATTCCATTTTTTTTTACAAACTGATTTCCAGTAGACACTATTGTTTTGAGATATCAGTACGGCAAACAAGCTTTTCTCAGGACCACCAATCATTAAATTATAAGATAAAGCAAGGACATTTGTTAGGGGGAAGGGGAGCCACTATCCTATCAAGGTCTGGCTTGCTACCCCACAAAGGGCCACAATCTTTTAATTTAGTACAAATTTAGGTACACTAATAGCTAAAAAGTGCACCTAGAATAATGATTTTTATCTAAATTTTGCTTGCTTTGGTCAACTACCCCCCAATGCCCCTCCACCAAGAAAAAATAAAATGACATCCACGAGATGAAGGCATGTTGATGTTGAAAATTACTCTTGTTACGGGGAGTAGATAGGAGAGAGTGATAGAACTACTGGTGTCATATACATTTCTTTGAAAATGAGAGATTTCTGACATCACCTATCTAAAATGAAGCAGGAACTTGAAGTCAAATACATACCAGAAGCCCAGCTTTTTTTGGAGCCTCAGCTGACTGTTTAACTTGAACAGCTGATGTGGCTACTGAAGCCTCGGGCTCTACAAGGTCTTCTTTCCTGTTTGAAGATTTAATTGGAGCAGTTGATGGATCCACAACTGCAGCTGGGACCTCTTTCTCCATTATCCTGGGACTTTATAGAAAATATTCCTGAAAATGAAATTTGAGTTAAGAACATCCAAATATCTTTCAATCTTTTGAGAACACAAGATAAGCACTATTCACAATATCTGAAACAACATCTTGTTTCTAAAAACACTGTGTCCCTTTAACTCTTCACAAATAAAAGTTTGCTTTGATTAAATACAATTACCAATACAAGTTTAGTCTTGTTGGAAATGTGATGTAAATGTAAAAAATATACACAGAATCAATTATTACATTGTTTAATACAAGGGGCTGTATTAAAAATTACTGCAAATGGCCCAAATTACAGCATTTTGGCAACCCTGCTAAAAAAAAAATGGCAGTTGTATGATCTCTTGCCATGAGTATGTGGGGGATTCTTCATTTTCCTGGACAGGTGTAGGGGGCATCAGCCCCCCCATGAGAATGTCACAGGAGGCACAGCCCCCTGCACTATATAATATAGTGACTAGTTGAATGTATATTTACATTTTACCCTGCAATTTCCCTAGTACCTTTCATGCTCTCTCCTGCTATCAGAGACAAGAATGTGGGTGTTTGGGGTGTTTCCGCACAATAATTTCTGAGTATTTGGTAACTAGACAGTGAGAGATATCCAACAATAGCAATATCATCACAATCTGTTATGCGGATGTATACGAAAAATATAATACTGCGTTCGGAACTCGTCCTGCTCGTCCCGACCAGTTGGACCAGATGTTTTGACTGCTTGGAACCTCTACTATCTCGTCCTGGACAAGTTGTCCATCTCGTCCATCTCGCCCTCCTGCGAACCTGGGCGAGCAGGACAAGATAACGTCACAATAGATTTTGTATGAAAACACTGACAGTTGTAGTTAACCACAAGATATTGATGGGTAATTTCATGGCCCTTTATTGGTGTTATTAAAGAATATTTTTGTTTGCCAGTTGTAGGTAAGTTAAATATGCATCAAAGGAGTTACAAAGGTAATTTTCTATATTACGTCCGCATAACCGATATCGACGATTTTGGTATCGTTGGATTCCTCTCACTTTATACAATGCAAATATGTAGGTTTTATTGCGCGGAAACCCCTTGTTAGCGATAAACTTGGCCCCGATATCGGGGCGACGATGTCGGAGCGGCGGACGTAATATATAAAATTACCCTAATAATATAACCTCACAGTGAAAATAATCATGATTATTCACATGACTTTCCATTGCAGGTGGCTGTGCCCCCTGCGACTCCCCCTGGGGGGGCTGCCGCCCCCCAACCCCCGCCGAGGAAACAAAACCTCCACCACGTATTCACGGCAGGATAGAGCGCACACGAACTAGATGCGGAGTCGATAACCTACAATAACCTAGGATTTTTAAGGTACTAACCTGATTGATTAATGCCGCTAATTAGTAGGGAGGGTGCTCCTTTGCCGCAGAATGTGAAGGAGGTCCAGGCGTGCTGGCTGCCCGCACCTGCCGCAGGCTTTCTCCCGACGGAGGAGGCCGTGGGGAAGCACATCTCTAGCATTTTTTCCTGGCTAGTTGCAATTTTGCGCAGAAAAACCGTCTCCGAATACGAGCACCCTCCACACTCGGCCATCGCGGCGGCTATGACTGACTTCTGAACGCGACGGTTATTTCGGTTAGGAATACGGATGTCGTTATTCTAGGATGGGAAACTCGACCTTGAGTCCATCTGTGTAACATCGAAAGAGGCGCAAAACCCGCCGACGAGGGCGGGCCTACCTGTTCATCCTGATTATACTACAATCGTCTCTATATACAGTGCTGACTATGCCAAGGTTAATATGCTAATTCAGTGGGAATCTTACGAGGTAATTGTAATATTACGCCCGCCGCTCCGACATCGACGACGATTGTGTAACGCTCTAGCCTGCCGGGAATACGTGGTGGAGGTTTTGTTTCCTCGGGGGGTTGGGGGGGCAGCCCCCCTCCCAGGGGGTCGCAGGGGGCACAGCCCCCTGCAATGGAAAGTTATGTGAATAACCATGGTTATTTTCACTGTGCGTTATATTATTAGTGCTATTTAACCCGCATTTTCCCTGGAACCTTTCATGCCCTCCCCTGCTATCGGGGCCAAGTTTGTCGCTAACGGGAGGTTTCCGCGCAATAAAAACTATATATTTGCAATGTGGAGAGTGAGAGGAATCCAACGATACCAAAATCGTCGATATCGGTTATGCGGACGTAATATAGAAAATTACCAAAAAGTGAGTTTACATTCGAGCCGGTTGCATTCTGGGCAGAAAGGGTCTTGGGAGTTCACTTGTCCTGCTGGTCCTGGACAAGGTGTCCGGACGAGCAAGACGAGCAGCTCCGAACGCAGCATAAGTTAAGATTCTGACTAATCATAAGATTTATGTAGCGAACGACTTCGACCCCCGCCCACGCCCTCCCCGGCTTCCGCAAAATTGCCAGGCGGCTGTTGACCACTTACCCTTGCGATGCACGTGCTGCACCTTACCCAAGATCACTCACAAACGATTAGGACGATAAGAAGTCTCAACTGCCAAAGCGGACCACGCGCGTCGATCGGCACTTCACCCAGACGAAAACTGGTTTTAAAACCTATTAAAAAAATAACAATCAATACGCTATGCCAATCTATCATTTACATATTAATATGATTAATAATTTTAAATCGAACTAGAACTAGAATTTCAGGAGCAACGAAAACTTACGTCCGATCTGTGCAAGCCTTCTGCAGACTCTCCGGGATGAGACGCCACGTGGCGTAAGGTGATCAGACCTACCTGCGTTCGCAATTGAATGGAAAATTGAAACGGTTAAAGGTGGAATTCATGAGTGTTTTTAAATTAGAGCGCAATTGCATAGGAGAAAAAAAAATTAATGTTCATCATACAATTATTCAATAAAATACGAAACTTACGCACCAAGTTCAAACGGGAATCATGCATACGTAGTTGATCGTATTTTGATCGAGAAAACAAGAAAAATAGAACTTGTGCGTATATTGCATGCGCCATCCCTCTGCCATTCGTCTATGACCCTGTCATGTCAACCTTCCAAGACCACCCATCTAGAAGCTTTTTGGCAAAGAAACCCAATAATCGTGGAGTGTAATCCAACGAATTTATCAGCCTAAAAAGATGATAATTTTGGTTAAATCGATAACTACAATTGATGACAATATCGCACCCATATTTTCATTCGACCCTGACCTTTATAACTCCGCGCAGCAAGAGTCACTGGGCGCTTTGATAACTCCTCTTCGTGGTGTCGGCAGCGAACTATGTGGCCACAACCACACTCTGCATACTCACTATGTCCGTGCCGGTACAACCTTCACATGAATGTTCATTACCATGCCTCACTGTACAAAGAAAATTACAATAGTAGCTTTCACTACCACCATCCGTTTAATGCGTACGGGAGTAAAATCAAATAGTACAGGAAACTGAAGGGAACGAGGACTAGTCCCTTTAAAAAGAACTTACAAAGTTGAAAAAGCACTTACAATAAGAGTTCCGCTCACTCACACCAGATGGAAGCCGCTTAAATAGATAAAAGAACACCAGCCTTTGTTCACTTTGCTCAAATGTATATTGATCTAGAGCAACACTAATAAAAACAATTCTCACGACCACCACAAAACCTTACCTGTCACGTTCCTCAGCC